GTCTGACTGTTTATGAAATAAACTTCTACCCACACCCACACTGAAACCCACATCCAGGATCGGCCAACTTTGTTATCAGCAATTCATTGAATACTAAGCCTTAAAGGATGAGAATGGAATCCATTATCTGCAAGTACAATAGAGCAGCGAAATATATCTATCAATGATTCGATTGAACACCCCCATCAAGAAAGGTATAATGATGATTTTTGTTCTATTTCTTCTTTGCCACTTGCCTCATATGCTGGTACTCTGGCATCAATATCTGACCTGGCTGGTATGCACTATGCAATCGGTATGGCTACCACTTTATTTGACAATTTAGAACGACTGATTCGTATGGTTCCATTGCTTTACTGCTTGCGTATCCTTGATTGGTAGACGAGAGATGAAGAAGATGAGACTGATCTATTTAATGGCCACTGAAACGGTGCTCGACACACGGGATAACGAAAGAAATGAAGTTTGTCAATCCATTGCTTCATATTTATCGCTTACGACGAGAGCGACAATCTTACGAATACGTGAATGCTTCTACAAATTTCCATATAGCCTTGAAGCAATTAAATCCATCTGTTTCATAGAGAAAACTTCGTTTTCGAATTGATTATGCAATCTAAATGAACTATGTTCGTTCAATAAGAATTTGAATTTGCGATTGATTTTCAAAATCTTTTATTGTTATTCCTAGCAGGAAATTGTGGCATACATTAAATTTGTTTAATATACCGATATAGTGAAGTTCATGCTATTGAAATTAAGATTTATTTGATAACAAAATGTAAGTGCTTAAGAGAGGAACATATTTGTTCTAAGAACCTTAGCCATGTGGAAGAAACAGTCGAAGAACATTATTAAGTTTCTACTACAAAACGTATAAGACGGTTATAAAAATACTTTACAGTAACTGAATATCACGATTTTTTAGTAGGAAAGTAAAAAATTTCACTTTCTACCACTAGAATAAAGATAACTAATCATATTCTAAAACTCGAATATTTTCGTGAACCTGTGCCAAGTGAAGACTATTTCGAATTCCGTATAGCTCTGATAACAGTGAAGTATAATTGTTATCGAAACTTTTATAGACACTGTAGACCTCTCCATACTAGTAAAATACGAAAAAAAGAGCCGAAAATAAAGATAAACACAGATACAATGAGATCAAATTAGATTTGCGAGTATCTAACTGAGTTCTATTTTTCACCCGATGAAACGAGTCGATTGAGCAGGTTTTCTCCAATGAGATGGGTCTCGTCGATAATTCAAACAAAACAAGTTGCTTGACTTCGACTATGCCCATCAGACGTCGGATATTGACGCGTCGAATAATTGGACTAGGCATGGCAGCGTTGAAGACAACTAGTAATGACGGCTATTGTTTCTTTTTGCTTGGATAGGCTGCTTCATTGTTATTGTCAAACTATATATTATTTATACAGATCAATTCGCGCCATAATCTGTACCACGGACAACAATTGTATTTTTGTACATGAAGAAAATTAATTTCGAATCCTTACCTAATGAGATCATACTTGATATATTCCATTACTTTGATGGTATTGCTCTTCTTCATACATTTTATGGACTTAATTCTCGCTTCAAATCTCTTATTTCTCACCAGTTTCGATTCTATTCTTTTGAATTTTCTTTGATATCAAAATGTGATTTTGATATGATATGTCAAAAACATTTACCATTCATTGCCGATCAAGTTACTACACTTCGCCTTTCGGACATGAATAATACTCCAGGACAAATTGATCTCTTTTTTTCTTACATTCCATCATTCAATCAATTCATTCACTTGCGAATACTTTCTATATTCAATATTTATTCATATCAAATATTAATTAAAGTGATCAATGAATGTCAATATCTATGTAATCTCATCCAGTTCAAATGTCAATGTTTTTCTTTACAAAAATGTGACATGGATTTGCAATTCATAATTGACAAAATCTGGAGTTTACCGAAATTATCTTATTGCAATTTTCTCACTGCCCCTCAACGGGAGCAGAGATATTGTATACCAACAAAACTATCTTCTACTCTTAAATATGTTGATATACCTGGTTATCAACTCAAATGGAGTCAGATCAATCGATTCTTCGAACACACTCCTCGTCTTAAACGACTTTCGTTATTTATTAACTTTGCCGATGACGATAATGATAATCTTATCTTATTTCCTTGTCCAACACTAATCCATTTGGATATTACTCTATTTCGTACGTCTGACATGTCGAAGATGATTTATCTTTTGCAAAACACACCCAATCTACGTTCTTTACGTGTCTGTGTATACTATAATTTAATCAATGGTAATCAATGGGAACAAATCATTCGTAAAAATGTACCCAAACTGAAACGATTTCGACTTCAAATGAAAAACATCTTTTTTCTCAATGAAAATATCCAACAAGAAGTCGATCAATTAGTGGATTCATTTCGAAGTTCATTTTGGATTGATGAACATCAATGGTTTGCTCGATGTTTTGCACGCGATAAAACTATTCATTTCTCTACTCTATCTGACACATTTTGTTACGATGAAAGAAAGTTACCTGACTTCTGGAGATCAACATATCCACATGATAATCAACAAAATCTTTATGATAACATAACTACTATCTATGATGAGACATTTTTTGATCAATCAATTCCGTTCGACATGTCTTTTCCTAATATTCATTCTCTTCATATCAAACTTCCTATTCATAACCAGTTTTGGTCTACTATTTCAAATTTCAATCGGTTGTATTCACTTACCGTCTCATCCCATATTGATACTTTTCAATCTCAATTGCAAACTTTACTAGATCGAGCACCACGTCTTCGTTTTTTACAGATCAATCAAAATGAATCATTATCTCTGCAAATATCAATATTCCAATATACAAGTAAATCAGTTCGTGTACTCGATCTACGAAACTGTAATTATTCTTTCAATGAGGAAGAATGTATGAAATTGTGTCATTCACCATTAGGAATTCAATGTAAAATACTTTCTATCAATGTGAAAAATCGCGAAAGTATTAATATTTTTGTCAAGTATATGACCAATCTTCGAGCATTGCATATCAAATGTGAAGATGAAATGTTCAATAAACGATCAACATCAGAAGAAAATGCCAATGATGAATTTTGTGACGAAAATATAGACAACAGCGATGAACTTATTCGTTGGTTAGAGGATCATTTACCATCAACATGTTTAGTTGGCAGAGATCCACATTCTCACAGTTTCATTCGAATATGGTTCTAATAGTAGAGTAATGATAACTATATGTATAGATCAATTCATTATGAATAAACATTGTTTGAATTGATTTATTTCATTGATTATCATTTTGTTAATGCTGAAGATGAGTTTGATTGATCAAAATAAAATTATATTTGTCTATACATTGTTACAAAGAGATGTTCCATGTGTAATACAGTTTTTGCATTGATCATATCTGCAAAAGTAACATTAGAGTAATCATTGCAAGATTTATCATATTATAGATTTTATATTGAGGTTTTTATTTATATGTATTGTTTACTATTTCACTTCGACTGAACTAAAGTAATCTGTCTGTCGAATAATCCTGGAAAACCATCCTTTTCTACACAAATATCAAGATAATTTTATCATATCACATAATAAGACGATCAAATCCCTGATATCAGAAGATCGTGGTTTCTAAAACGTTTAGTCTGTCCGCCCACTCAAGTCTTTCAAATGATGCATTGTGAGTGCTTAAATTATTGACGTATTTGTTTACTCGATTGATAAAAAATTGAGCTTGAATTGTTCATCTATTAAGCAACTATTTAGCTAACTTCACTTATCTTTTCGATAGTCTTAATAGTTGTATATGAATCGCTTTACAGCGCAGGAATCACCCACACACACTACAGTTGAAGAAGGATTTTCATTCATTGATACTTATGAATTTTTAACATACCTGATGAAAACTGTCTGAACAATAATCGAACTGCATCCTATGGTACTTCAAATCTACTTATTTTATTAGAATCTCACCCTTCGTCATCATTTAAAACAAACATGAATCGAAAGTAATAGAGGAAGAGATATGTTATTGTCCTGGACAATGTGAATGTTCACACTAATATATCGACTGAAAACACATAATTTTCTTTGTGTTATCTATCAATTTTTACTTGGAGTTTTTCAATGATTACTTAGTTGATTTCGTTGATGCTTGCAAAAGTTGTCGTACAAGCATGTGTTTGGTGATATTTGATCAATTCCACACTATTTCTGTACCACTAATAAAATGTCATGGCGCTAAGTATGTGCCATAGTTGATGACTTGCACCAACATAATCAAAATATCCAGATGCAAATCGTTCAGGAATTTTAGTCCGAAAAAACAAGATACCAGTGCAAAATATAATATAGAAAATAATGATATTACCGAAGAAATATGATACATCTGTGCTGTATCCATTTACCTTAACCCAATGAAACAAAGTAATAAAACCTGCTATAGTAATAGCAATGAAACGCGTACTGTCAATTGTGTCATTAGGTTTCAAAACATGATGCAATAGAACGATCATGATGAGAAGAATGATAGCTAAATAGTAAAAGATCCTCGTGTATAGATGACATTTGAATATTAAATGAAGTCCAATGAAGAACGATGCGACTGTAACGAGGGCAACGCCCAAAAGATCTAACTGTAGACATAAATCATATATTTTTGCTGAACAACCACTAAGTAAGTGTAACATGATTGATGCTATCATACAAGATATGATGGATAAGACATAAAAGAGAAGCATAAAGTAATCATCCATATATGCAGTTGAAAATAAGTTATCATAGTGTCTAAATGAGATAAAATCTCGAAGAAAATACCATGTAAATAACGCAAAGCCAACGAAATGTGTACAAGTATTAATTGTTTCATTGTGGAAATGGAAGAAGCTTGCAGCACACTCACACAATGGTAAATCATGACGATAACCATTGAGAATGAATGAGCTTGTTTGCAAATGTTTCGGAACTTGATCGTATGCATAGTCTTTTGTGTTTTAACTACCACAAATAATTTATTCTTTTCTCATTTTTAAATGGTAAAGTTTGTTTTTCATTTTACGAACTTGTATCAGTTGGAGATTTAGAACGAAAACAGTGATAGTTTTCTACTCTTCTAATTGCCAACTGATTTAAAGGGGTCTTCTCTACTGCTTTCAATATTTTGAGAAACTGTATTATTTTCCGATATTTTGTCCACGTTGAACGAGACACTTCCTCGATAAATACCGAATGAGAATCCTCAATTTGAGAGACAATTAAAAGTGATCTGAATAACTCATCTTTGTGTATTGGAAAAAAATAATGCAATAATTGACGTATTCGACAAGCTGATGCAGTTTTATTTCATGATGGAGACGTTGATGCTTTCATTGACGGAGAACTACAAGAAAAGAGATGCATCCGACATTTTCTCTATGACATATTTAGCCTTTTTATATGCCATTCTTTGTTTGTGTTATTTCTATTCAATGATAGCATGGAAGTGCCTATTATAAAAGCAAGATGTGACAGCTTGTCGAATACTTCAATCATTGAGTTCTTTTTTCGATCAATTAAGAACAGTATGTGGCCTTCAATCAAGAACTAAATCACATTTACTCGAAATAGATAGATCTCTTCTTGAAATAATGAAAAATATCATGTCTACAATTTTGAGGACTTCGCAGCTTGCAATCTTTTTCGCTCTATTAGAGTTCTCGACGTAGAGCTGAGACACTATCATGTAACTTGCCTATACAATTTAAGACAAAAACTGATGCTCTCTTTGCATTTCTTATTTGAGATATATATGTATATGGGGTGAGGCTGAGGATGAAAGTGAAGATAAAAGCATTAGTCTCACATTCTCACTTTCGATCATTTTGATTTGCTAATGTCGAGTGGAAGGCAGGTATTTTCAATGAATGTGCAAGTCGGTTTTTTGATAACTACTATTGGATTGTACAATATGACAGTGCTAGTCAGTGGCCAGATTGTGCTGAACTATCGATCGCAATTCAAGCTGGTTAGTACTGGCAATTCGATTGTCTCATGAACGCTAATAATTCAGCAGTAATCTTCCATCAAGTGCCTTGTCTAACAGTTCTCACTGCAAACACTCAATGCATTCGAAATGGAATGAAACATTTAATTTAATTTTGTAAAACAGATATATCAACTTATTCATCACACTTCCATTCTAACTTTATCAAAATAAATAGTTGAAAACCTGATTCAAGTTCAAATCGATATCGTAATGGAAATTAGATTGATCATTAGAATCTAACCTATATTCAACAATGAAGTGTCTTATCATTGACTTTGATTTTTATTAGAGATGAGATGGAGATAGATGTGTGAGAGTGATGCTTTCCTTGTCATCCTCAATCACTCCCCTTTCCATATAGCGAGGCTTAATCGTATCAAGATCGAAGGAAAGAACGCACGAATGAGGTTTCGTCGACACAGATGAAATGGAATAACAATCCCTACGCACTCACAGCTCATTGTAACTCATTTTCTGAATGAATTTGAGACGATCATTTCAGGTACATGTTTCAAAGAAACAGGGCGCGTTATTCAACGGTATTTGTCATTTTTCTGTTTCAAGAGACATTCAGTAACATTGAATACTCTCATTCAATCGAGCCAAGCAACAGCTCAAGTATTGAATCCAAACCGTTACTGCGTACAATTTGTTTGTTTCGAAACTTTATTCTCCATTGATCAATTTCTCCCAATCTGGCAATTGTTCGCTATTGGTTTCTTGAATAAAGGCATCGAAGTACTGGCTCTCAACGAACTCCAAAATTCTTCTGCTCAATCCGTTCCATACCGCAAGTCATTTCCGACGGTCAAATGCCGGTCAGAGTCAACTTTGGCCCTGTATGAATGACTCAAGCTGGTGGCTTCGTGTTCAGCGATTACATATTGCCTCCGGATGTTGACCCGCGAGCATCGTTTTCGGGCACAAATCACCACTCACCCGAATTGAAATAAAAGCTGCACAACAAGAAATTGAAGCTGAAGGTGTACTGTTTTTTACTTGATCCAGTAGAAGTCAGGAGAGTCTATTCGACTGGCTGCTCGAGTTGCACGGTGTTCCGACTATCTCGGCGCAACAACATGACCGGTGTTTGGTGATTCTTCTTCCACGAGACACTCAGCGTTGAGTACAACTTGACATATTTCACCAGTCATTTCGCTTTACAAGGCAATAATTATTCCGAACTCGAACTCTGAATAATGGTATAGTTCATATTGCTAAGTAACGCTTGTCTGAGATAGAGAATGGACTTTTCGATATTTTGAAGACATCTTTTTTAATATTTATTTTTTCAGAATTGATTTCTTATGAAAAGATTCGTCTTTTAATTCTCTACAACATGATATACATTCTACTAGTACAAACATCATCCATTATTTTACAAAGTGCAGTTTAAAAAACAACTCTTCTTTGTTGAATTATTTAGACTGCACCTTTTTCGTTGTTTATCAGGAGTTTCTTCTAAGGTTATTTTTTTTTTATTCCATTGATGAAATAGCAAATGGATCTTCTTTGGAATAGTTGAATCTATGTAAATGTAGAACATAATATGCAATGGTCAATGTTCGTTGTCTAGGATAGAAAAAAAAACTAGTCTTGCACAAATATTGTGTGGCATGACGAATATTAGACTTTATATGGTTTTGTTGATATATTCCATCATTTCTGAAGCTTTTATCTCTATGATTTGCTGCTGCCAGAAGCATATCCTCTGCTGGGATTAAACAAGATCAGATATTCGTGTCCAAAAATGATACTCACACAGCGAATCTGACATTTCAGTACAATCATATGAAGTCTAACATTTATCACGTACACAATATCTGTGCAAGACCAATTTTCTCACTATTCTGGACAACACACATTGACCATCACATATTATATTCAAAAGAAGATCTATTTTGATTATTTCATCAATGGAATTAAAAAAATAATCTTGGAAGAAAATCTTAATAAACAACTAAAACATACAATCTGTACAATGCGACAAAAACTGTCTTAGAAAATTCCTTTTCTTGAATTGCTTTTTAAAGTGCCTTGTAAAATAATGAAGAATGTTTATAATGATACAATAATATATCATGTTGTAGAGAACTAAGAGACGAAGCTTTTCGAAAGAAATCAATTTTGAAAAGACAGATATTAAAAAAGATATCCTCAAAATATGAAGAGATCCATTCATCCTAGG